TATACAATATAACATTTTTACAAACCTGTTCAAATTGTTTGAACAATAATCGGACAATTTAAACTTCTAAAAATTTGCTAATTTATGGTACTTCATGACTGTTAATTATATCATAAATGATCGTGACTCTAAAAATGGCATGCATTTCTTATAACCACCTGTTTATACGATATATAAATTATTCCTATTATTAAACAAAACAGTTTGGTGAATCTTACTTTAATACCGTCCTAGTATTTCCCTGTTTAAAAATAGCACTTCTGTAGGCAAAATTATGATGAAATGACCGACTCTAATGAAAACGGTGTGTGTTTACATCTTTATGTAGGTGTCCCTTCCTGACGCTTTCGTTTGGCCGCCTTATTTGCAGGTGTCTGGTATTTCACGATTTTCCGCACAACGGATGGCTGCCTTATAGCCTTTGCACTCCTTCATGGCGTTCCAACGGTACCCTCTTGATTTTTCACTGATCTTTGAACGAAAGAGACTTTCGCTGAGTAGCCTAAACACCGCAGTGACATTTAGGACGCACGCTTCGAAGTCAATGACAAAGAATGTTCCTTAATAAAGCTTCACGCTGCGTTTGAGGAATACCTAGTTACAAGTGGAATACAACCCATCACTTAAGAACTAGCACTTAAAATTTTTGGCATTCTGGAGACCATATGTTCTTGAGCAGTGAGCTCGTTTCCGTTTAGTAGTTCACTCCTTTTCCCCTTTGATTTTGTTCTATAAGTGCAGTGTTATATCTGCTTCCAGATACATTGCATCATCGTTTTGCTCCTTTCGAGACAATCCGGGAAGAAATAAGGAGTATGAGAATTGAAAAGAGGTTTTCTATCTAGTGCCTCACATAATATTGTGGAACACTACTTCGTGAACAAGTTGATATCTGCTGAATCGTTCTCACTACTTTAAATGGCTACTGTGTTAGCCATAGAAAGAGGCATACTTGCTGGTGAAAAGTAAATATAATAAGAGGCTTATGGTCTGGATATATTCGGTAACCTTTTTCCACTACACATATTTGTCTTCTGTATGTTCACTCAGAACATTGTCTTCGTTGCCCCAACCACCATCTCCTTGATTTTTGCCTGTAGATCTTCAACTCTGTGTGACAATAGAAATAAATCATCCTCGAAATTAAGATATTCCTGAGTGTTTCTAGCGATCCAACCTACTCCTATTTTTCCTTTTCTCATGGCCTAGCGCATGATACACTGCACCGCAATCAGAATATCATACTTGGCAGTAGGCGGCCCTGTCTTACTCCTCTATTTATGAAAATCCAGTGAGTCACTTCTACAGTCAACGATGGTATTCGATGTGAAACCAAGGTTTTTCATCAAAAAGAAGTAATAATCAGTACTTGGACACTGACAGTACTGCCAGATTCACTGCTGAGTCCCTGCTGCGGCACACGCAGAAAACCTGGCTGCAGGTGTAGTCTCTCACAAGATGCAAGGCAAAGCTACTACACTGGACGCACCGTCCTCGAAAGATAGAAGAATATATTTGTCATAAAGCAGGAATGCTAACTGCAGCAGACTTAATTTTTACAATAAGTTGACCGTTTTCCAAAAAGTGAAAGAATAGAAAGAGTCAGACGCCAAAGTACTGGTCTAAAGCCGATTCCCCAACAACTCATTCGGCTCTTTTTTCAAAGTCACAGTAAATCCGAGAACTAAAGAAGACGTGATTTTGAGCACCGTCAGCACTCCCAAAGAATCGCTCACCTACGTCCGCGCAGATTTACGCCTCTAACAGGTTTTCAAAAGATATCCCACAAAACCGGAACTAGGTAGACGGCACTAAAACGACAGGGCATTCTCCTGGCTAAAATCTTTCCGCTGGTGGATCTTCGAAGCGTGACGACCCGCAAACCGCTGTGGGTGGAACTCAAAAACGTTAAACTGAACTAAAAGTTTGCAATGATATGTGCTGAAAGGAGAGACTGAGCTGGGTAGTCTAGTTGATTCCTATTTCGCTGCACTACGTAATCGTGCCTAACACCTGAAATCTGGAACAGTGAAGCCGATCTTCAAAAATTCACGCTGCAGATTAAAACGAATGAAACGACAAATCAATGTCACCATAGCACACTGCAGTCCTGCCATCATTGCAGAAGACTTTCTCATGGAAAACCTTATCTTATGGACGCTGAATTGTCGGTGCCTTATAGTTAGTGATACGCAGACCCCAATGGTCTACCTGAAAAATCTTACGATATTGTTCTTAGATATTTGCTTCTACTATAAGTTAGCAAATTGTTCCACCACACTGTCTGCAGTCCAGCACATCAAGAAACCAGTGCATTTTGACCCTCAGCACTTAGCTTCATTGTTGGAATTAGTTGTTCCCCCAGATAAGGATATGAATTAACCCTCCTAAGAAGAAGAAATCATCCTGTGGACGCTTCTAAGTTTACACCTTTACGGTAATCCGGTTCCAAGTCCTACTGAACCGGATGTAAGAAAAGCCTTTATGAATGCTATCAATTCTCCAGCCTTCACTGTGGATAGGAGTCTAAACCTGAAAGTTCATGTATAAGTTACATAAAGTCAATTCAAAAAATATATGCGAATCCGCTTCAGTCCAACGTTTCATTGACTCTCCTCAAGCATAGAAAACACTACCTCCTTATGGATAAACGGGGAAGTTCTTAGACGTTTTGGGAGTTAATTCTAGTTTTGGAACTTGTTTATCACCTTTAAGACTTCAGGGGCCGGGGGGCTATACTTTACAACTAGATGTAAGCCATTAATCTTGGATTATATTCAAAATGCATCTAGTTTAAAATGCAATGGCACAACCGAAAAAACCATTTGTACGTATAAACATGAGGCGACAGACGTTAACCAGAGACCTTATCCTGATTACTAACACAGGCACAACCGGACAGGATCAGGAAAAAGCTGAAGCGATGGAAAACTACTCTTACATAGTCTTCACACAGGACGTGTCACTAACTAGAGCATCAGGTCACAACACGCAACAAGAGAACAGGATAGGTCTTGTCGATGTCGACGAAAAAATAGTACTCCGACCCTAGGAACCTTGTTACGGCGAAATCAATGAGAACCGACGACTTTCACCCTGGACATACGAAGGAGCTGGCAGATCACATACCCATCTCATTAACCACTGTCTTCTTGCTGTCCTTCTCAAATGGAAAGGCATTACATGATGGGAAGGATGCAATAGTAGACCCCACACACAAACCACAGGCCTATAAATCTTACAAGCTTACTAGTTAAATACTGGAAAGGATGAAAATAAAACCTACCATGGCACTTGAAAAACAACACCGTGATAACCACAGTACAGCACGGCTTCCTAGAAAACGTCCTATTTCTCACGAACCCTCTCAGACTGAGAGAAGTTAGGTGGGATCCATCGGTAATAAGTAATACATCGACTTTTTTTCGCGGATGTGGGCAAAACTTCAAAAAGACTGGCTGATAGAGGAGACAGCTGCAGTCAAGCGAGGCCTTCTCAAATGAACCAAATGACCCACTGTAGGTTAAGAAAACGAGGCCAGGTCAAGCTCAAAATTCTGCCTGTACAGCGGTGCGTATTGGTGTGTCACAGGGAACTGTTAATCCCGCCAACAGATTAACTGGGCTCACGGAATCTGTATTTTTTCTCCTCGCAGATGGCTCATAGGATTTAGGAGAGCTAAACGAGGAAAGTGACACGCTAACGTCACTCATGTATGTCAGGAATCTGGCAGGCTGGTCCAAATAATGCATCAACACACTAGAATATACAACCATGCACACTGGGCACACAAGCTTTAGAACATGCAACATGGGATGAACAACACCAACTTCACTTAAGATGCTCAAGGACCAAGGTGTCGTTGTACGTCATGACTGAAAGCCGCAGATCCTTGTGAGTAATACTTAGGACCTTGACTAAAGACACCAATGAAACACTTCTGGGAAGCCAGTTAGCTACGCTACTGACTCGACAACGAACTGGCTTCCTGACTGGCTTCGGTTGCAAATAACTCTAATGATTGTTGTGTGGCCATCTATCCTGCTAAACGCGCCCTTCAGCCGCATAATCTGTTGACTCTTAAGCTTGGTCCACTTAACTTGGTGGCCAGGGGGAGGATATAAATTTAAGGCTGTTTATTTGCTAACGTTTGTGTGTGGGGAATATAGGAATGCACAGTCATATTGCAAAGCAGTAACCGCGCTTTTTCCCCTTGAAAACGCAAATGTTTAATCCAGTTGGAACAGGAAGAAGGAGTGATCACTGAAGGCGAAATGTCTGAGGTTCACTAGAATTGACGAATTTCTTTGATACCCTACACACTTCACGATTTTATACACATCTCTAGCGAGCTCACACACAAAATCTTCAGCCAGGGAACAGGCGGTTGTCTCAAAGGATACTCACTGTACAAAGAAAGCAAACCACTAGGTTTGATTCCTGGTATGATCAATTCGTTATACATGCATCAATTTAACTTTTTAAGTCTTCTTTGCTTCTACATAAGGTAGTTATAGAGGATATCTAATCATGAGGTTCGAAATTTTGAGTAATCACCTTGTACTTTATCTATCTTCTCTTTTCCTCTGGTTGAGGTCGAAAAATCTTATAGGATGTAGCAGCATATTTTGAAATCCAAGGAACCGATTTCCAAAAGAAGTGGAGTCAGAATCCTCAGTAGACCAGTTCTAGAAGGAAGTTAACAAGTACTGATAGCTACTGAATTACCCCAAGAAAACAATCACTTCACCACTAATGAGTGCAGTGTACGTTATGAGTTATATTAAGGTTAGATTGGGGCTAGGAGTTGGGTTACGATTAGTATTTCAGTCCGAGATTAGTGTGTACGATCGGGCTTAAGATAACGCCGAATCGTCCTAATAATTAGTCCAAACATTTTGATTTACAGTTTATCAACAGACCCATGAATTTTTGCAGTTTTTCATTTGGACTGCCTCCTCAGTGCCACTTTATGGCTGCAATAGTTTATCCTCCTCCTACTTTGTTTTGTTGATCCAATTTGTTCACCCACCCGAAAGCCAATTTTCAAAAGTTTTGAGGTAGGTGTGTTTTGGAGTTTTTAACCTTAGTTTTCGGGTTAACTTTGACGCGTAGCCTTGCTAAGACAGTAGCCTCTTTGTCTTGGTGATTTTTTGAATTAATTTGCGAACTATTTACCCACCGTCATTCGCGTTAAGAAGCGATTTTAACCCTAGTAAGCGAAAATAGAAAATGTATATTAAATTTGCAATGGTGAATATCTAATGTTTCTGATAGACTGCATCTGCTTAAAAGCCAGTTGATCTCTCTAATGTGCAAGAAAGGTTTGCCATAGATTGCCTTTTGTGCTGTGTTCAAATAATGGACGTGACTATTTTGTCTGCAAAGCTGACTAGTTGGTAGTAATTATATTTAGATATTTGTCAGCATTCTGTGTGGTGTATATAAAGCTTTTGACTTCTTTGCGAGTATCGACTTTGCTTTTATTGACAGCAATTTGCTTGAATTGTTTAGCTAATTAAATTTAGCACTATACTACTTTATCTTTTTGAAGCAATAATTTAGGTATTATAGTGAACTGAGTAATTACGTAGTAAGGCCCTAGCAAAAAGTTACTTAGGTAGGTTTTCTAAATAGCTTGTCATGGATGTCGAGCTCAGTTTAGTCTATGATGTTATAATTCGTACCTCTCAGTTGTTATTCGATTAAGTTAACTTATCTTAAACTTCCGTGTATTAATTGTCGTATCTCACTAAAAAAATACAGAATCGAAAATATTTCTGTGTGAGTTAAAAAATGTTCAAACTAATAGTTACCTACGGCGTGTTTTTTTTAATTTTTTTTTATTATGAATATTTTCTTTCATTAGTAAGCTCATAGTTTACGTTTTCCCATGTTCTGTGTTGAAGGTTGAATAATGAACCACTACGTTTTGGAAACGCAGCAAAGCCAACAAAGTGATCTAAATAAAGGTGTAGGAAAGATCCAACATATGATAATCAATAACGTCTCAACCTACTGACGTTTTCGAGTCCCTGTATCACGTCATAGATGGATCTTATATCTCGCTCATTGTTCATAGAACCTTTTGCTAGAAGGCTTACATTGCCATTTGTACCCTTTCTTAGCACGAACCAAGCTATTTAAATCGGGTTTTGGAACTACTCTGCTATTTGCGTTATACGTCTAACTAGTCGATCCTACTATGGTAGGTGGCCATCAGACTAAATTATCAAAATGTGAACATGTGGCTCACTTTCTCAGGCTTTGGATGTATGTCTCTTTATTCACCTTCCAAAAATCTAATATTTGGGAAGTATAATTTGCTTGAACACAGAAGGATTGTTTATTTTTTAATGTAAGAGCTTAAACCACAGTAATCAAGGTGCAAAACAGATGGGGACTAATTGATCTAAAACCCTAATAAGCTGCGTTATCCATTGCCTTAATTCTGAGTATATATATATACGCCATTCTATCGAATATATATCATCTTTAATGAGGCAGACATCAGAAATCGGTGCATGCATGTTGTCATATTTTTGGTTTTGGTTGTACTTTTAGAAAATGGAATCTTTAAAAATGTGTTTTGTAGTAACATTTACCGTTAGGATTAGGTTGGAAATGAGCCGATGGTGGTCAAACCAAAACATGGCATCAATCAATGAAATCCACAACAGTTAGTTTAAGCCACGTAGGGAACTGTAGACTTCTTGGTTGGGGTTCTCGGGACGGTGAAAACCAATGAAGGCTGGAGACAATTGGTGATATGGCTCAAAATCGTTCTCATTGATGCAGATGCATCCACTCCTTGTGACTTATAATTTCCAACAAAACTATATCCTTCTACCATATTCCTATTCTTTTTGCCTCATATCTCTGTTTCGAATTTCTTTTTACTCTCTTCTTTTGCTTTGTGTGCTAAGCAAACTGTGGCAACTTTAACTGCTACACATCAGTGCAAAGTTCTACGTTGAAACCAGTCAGTCAGTCAACGTTCACCGTCCACGCATATGTTAACTGATGTAATATTCGGATATAGGAGTGAAAGGTAGTTAGACGGGAACACAGCACCAATCTATGAAGTCGTCGGCTGTTAATTTGTTTCACGTATCAAGGTGCAGACTGCATAGGTTGCGCATTCAAAACGTTGAAAATCAACGACTGAAGACTATTTGTGACATGATTCAAATTCGTGTTCACTGGTTTTTTCAGCCTACTGACGCATTGTCATATAAACTTTACAGACACTCATGAGTTTTCTTGAATTTTCTCCCTCTTCGGTACATTTTCATCCACTATATTCTCACTATTCTTTTTCCTCTTATTTTGTGTACACTAAGCACTTTGGTGCTAAATTTTAGGCTCTTATGTCAGTCACTTCCACGTCGAGAATATTCATTATGTTGCTAATATACTATATAGAATTTATCTTATTCGGCTGTTTTTATAAAGGTGGGCTTGACTCTTTGAGTCTGTATATTTTTATACAGCTTACTGAGCGAAGGGATAAAACACAGATTTAATTTTTTCACAATTAGTTGCAGTTTCAGATTTTTCATAGTATTTGTGGTTTATAGGATAATTTGCGGTTATTCTCCTGGTTGATTTAATATGCCGCATAAAACTTAACTCTCTTTCAGAGAAGGCTTATGCGCTGGCAGTAACTAATCAGTTTTTGTCTGCACCATTTAACTTCTTGGGAAATTGGCCGGATGGGATAAACGGTTTTTAGTGAACGACTTATTGCTTAAAAAATACAAAGAGTTGACTTTTATCATTACGTTTCCTTTGACTAAGCTGATTCATTCATTCTTTTTCAGTTACCTCCTCCAGTGCATAATGACATCAGATGATCCAAAAGTACTATATCCATTGCATTTCCATGTTTGGAACAATGATTATATGGCCTTAGATGAGCTGCTCCACCAAAAGAAGGTGAGAATGCTTACAAATTATATAACAATAAAATTTTACCTAGCATGATATCGAAAAATTAGATTCTCATGGGAGAACTCCATTAATGTTATGCGTAATGCTTGATCATTTGGAGTCTGCACGAGTCTTACTTCGTCATGGAGCAAATGCTTGTGTATCTACAAATGAATTCTGGTCAGGTATTTGTTCTACAAAATTTTTTCATTACCCATTATTTAGCTACCCAAGAAGCTATTGCAACTGGTGACCCTGAGCTCGTCAAGTTGATTTTGGTCCACAGAGATGCTCAAATAGTTCGCCATCAAGCTGCGATAGTTACGGATTTGCTTCAGAAACTTAGAGAGACGCCTGATTTTTACATTGAGATGAAATGGGAGTTCACTAGTTGGTGTGAGTTAATATAATCCTAACACTCAATTATCCAGCAGTTTTCGAATATATGGTCTACCTTTAGCATTTTTCTAGCTCCAGAACTGATTGTTTGTAGACTCTCTTATGAATATACTCATTTTTTTCCTTCACGTTCCCCAGTGGAACACAGGGCTTCAAGCTAGTGACTTGAAGTTTCTGTAGCAGAGGTGTTTATTTTTACGGGATGGGGTTGCTAGCCTCATGCCTAACCTTTCCTCTTTACCAGCATTATTTCTGGCTTAGCGGGGTAAAGGAGTGCGTCTACCGGGGGTCGAACCCCCGGCGAGCGTCCCAACCGCTATACCACCGACGCACCTCTTATGAATACAGCAACTCAAATATCTCTCAAAGTATATTACATCAAGTTATACGTTCTCATATGAAGGAGTCTAATCATAAAGCCTTATGTATAAACTATGTATCGACTTTGAGTTATTTGGAGAAGCATAAAGTACATATGTCGGTATGTTTCTCAATAATGACACCTATATCAATGTCTTTTGCACTAAGCCATACTCGCTGAATTAAGGATAGTGGTTACAAGAATGCAGGTTGTTCGAATCTGTTATCTATCGGTAATTACATTCGCTAGTGATAAAAGCAATTTCACACTCTCTGGGTTTCACTTTTTATATAAAAAGGAACCTTTTGTGGAGTTCTCTAAATTTTTATTTACCAACTACGAAATAACGTAAAGTTAGTTGTCCACAAAACCCGTCAAGGGCTGTTTAAACCTACGTGTTAGTGATAGAGTTCATCATTACTCTAGTTTCTCTAGAAAATATAGTTTCAGGCAATCGAAGTGTTTTTTTAGTGCCTTGTACACTTCCTTACCAGATTAATCAACAACAAAATTGCTTTGTAGTTACGAATAATACCTTTTAAATGAACGGAAAACAACCATTACCTATTACTTATACCATAACTGCCTTTCCCAATAAACAATGTATAGGCGTTTTTAGCATGCTAGTGATAGTAGTAGAAAAGTCTATTGATTCTGTGAACAATTGTGCTTCATTTCTTTTTCTACAGTACGTTGTTATATGCAAATTTACTGAGGTTTCTAATAATTTACCCATAATGCATATGAATTTTGATTTTTCCTAGTACCTCTTGTATCACGTATGTGCCCGAGCGATGTTTGTCGTGTTTGGAAATGCGGCCCAAATGTTAGAATCGACACAAATTTACTTGGATTTAATGGTTCAGCCTCATGGGTTCGAGGTCATTTAAGTTATATGTTTAGAGCTGGAGGTATGATATAATTTATTTCTATATATAATGGATTGTTTTATTGAGCTACGCTAAACAATTCTTTGGAAATTGTTTAGAAGTTCATGGGATTGCCTCTTTTTTATCAGTTTCAAGTAGTGAACTTAGAAGATTTTGACTGCAGCTTACGAAATGAATTCAAAGAATTATCAATAAAACTGGAACAGAATCGTTAAAGTTTAAAAATTCCATAGTGTAACTAAAACATACTGACAAACTGCAAGACTTAGTTCGTGTTTACGGGCGACCTCTTGGTGTATCAATAATGGCGTTTTCTCTATGACTTATATATTTTCTCTTTGTGTCCTCTTTAAATGATGGCAACTTGAAGTAATACATCCCCGTACAGCTGTCATCCTTCCTCTCTTTTTGTAATACCATCCCTAGATGGATGAATTAAGAAGGTGATTATCAACCTTAGGTGTCAGAAGAAGCAAATCAAGTAGTAATAACAGTAATTATTGTCCTTTGGATTATACACAGAAATCAGAATTTTGTGTCTTTTTTTGAGTATGAAACATTACTTAATCTGTTTCTTTTCCTATTCCTTTACGTTCCCAGTGGGACGTAGGACTTGAAGCTAGAGGCTTGAAGTTTCTGTAGCAGTGGTGTTTATTTTTACGGGATGAGGTTGCTACCCTCACTCCCAACTTTCCCTCTTTATCAGTCTTATTACTGGCTTAGCGGGGTAAAGGAGTGCGCCGGCTGAGGATGGAACCCCGGACCACATACGTGGTTGGCGAGCATTCTACCTCTGTGCCACTGACGCACACTTAATCAGTTAAATATATTTCATGTTATAAACTGTCCAAAGTAATGTAGCACAAGTTACGATAGTTTTTGAGTTGTATTATACATTCGACAAATCGCTCTATTGAAAGTCAGCTGCTGAACCGTTTGGGGAACAGCGACAATAGAGGATAACCTTCGTCTTCTTACTTAACAGAAAAGCTCAAAAATCGTCATCTATTTTTGAAGATTCATTTAGAAAATCGTGCTATTCTTTCCTCTATATAATGATAACCGTTTGTTATGTGTAATAACCGAAGTGATTTATTCGGAACTGATGTTGAAGTTAAAGCCACCTAGCCTGATTGTGACACGTTTAGAATTATTTTTTTCAGAAACTTTTCGGGTTTAATTTTAATATGAAGAGGCTTCCTAGTTAAGTAACTTTCACGTGATTTAGCGTAGCAGACACGATTCAGCTAGATCGATCTGCGAATTGTGATACGTACCCTTGGAGTGCCACTTTGATTATTATAACTTTGGCACAAATGACAAAAGTGGTGCTTAGCTAATTGGTTTTAGTTGTCAAACTTAAAGCAGTAATTTTAGGCTTTAGACTTTAATGTAAGTCTTTGCGCCTTGATCACCAGATAGAAATATAGAGTCTCACGCATTAGGTGTAGGTAATTCTTCAGTATACAGGATTTTTGAGCAGAGTACAATATTAACTAGTAGCAGAAGAAAATTTCACTTCCCCAAAACTTTCAGTTTTTAACTTGTGCAGTATTGTGTGATTGGTCTAGGTTTCCAGCTGCCATGTGTCCCATCAGAAATCAGTGATATACTCTGCATAGTTTTAGGCTGAAGAAACGGATATCAGCTTAGGTGTGTCGAATAGCAAAGCACATTGATCTTCAGATGATTATTAACTTGTATATTTGATTTATTTTATGTTACTTTCCAAAAGTTTATCCTAATCCTTACCTTATTTTTACATATCAACATAGAATCTGGAGCCTATATGGATGAAGTCAATCATACTGATCGAACTATTTATCGACATAACGTTAATCTGTTAAATCGTCCTGATGGAACAGATGGTGCTAGTGGTGCTGGTGCAACAGCTGGAGCAGCTGCACAGCTTTTTGTTCGTGAACCTTCTGACAGTACTATTGCAAATAAATTAACTCAGCCTATTTTTGTCACATACTTGGATACAGATAAGATAGAATTTGAAAAGTGAGTTTTTACACTGCATACTACATACCTTTATTGCCTTATATGCACCTAAATGTTTTTCTCTAATCCGTGAAATTATTGACTAACTAAATATTTTTGCCGAAAAATATCCCAATTTTTTCATATATATATATATATATATATATATATATATATATATATATATATATATATAGTACGGATTCACGCTGCTTTGATCAATATGATTTCATCACACCAATCAGCAAAAGGTAATTGATCTACTTACCGAACCAGTGTAGGCGGATGGTATTTAGTGCCAGTGAAGTTAAATTTAGAAAAGATACACGTCAGTATGTTGTTATTTTTATACTTTAATTAAACGCATGACTTAACACTTATCAAAACATAGTTATATGCATACAGAATGTGTGTAAGGAAACTCTACTCTCTGGAATAGTCAATCATTATCTTCTTTTTCCTAGACTATCTATCGCTTATATTTCTCTAACTGCCTGTAATATAGGCCTTTAAAAAAGACTGTTTCATCGAAATTCGAAGAATTCCTGATGGTTAGTTATAAGCTTGGAGAATGCGCGCTGAAGTATTTACCTAGAAATTCTTGTGTGCTATATATACATTCTGAATAATGTATAACATTATTATTATTACTATTCCCTTATGTTCCAAGTGAGTGTAAAATCTCAGCTTCACATTTCCGTTCCCCATTGTTGTTTGTAGTGATTTTTAGGTGCATCCACGATTACCCATAAGCTTTTATCTCCTCCTCTTCATACGATCTCCTACATGTCTCCGTCGGACGCCCAACTCGTCGTCTCCTATTAAAATTCCACTGTAAGGCCTAGAGCATGACATGACTCAGTGATTTCCTTGGTGTCTGTCCAATTAATCTACATTTTCTTATGAAAATCTTTTTGGGTTGGTTCACTATCAGAATTTGTTGTTCCTAATCCTTCCCGGTCATCATCAAACTTACACAGGCAGGTTGCTGCCGATAAAACTCTCCAGTAGGCTGTTGGAAATGCTTTTCATAACGCGTGAAGTCTCTAAGCCATATAGAATCATAGACGTAGGTGTATCCCAATGCAAATTAATTCGATTCATACAGATGCTTTTGGTACTTTTTGTGTATACTAACAATTAAAGTGAAGAAGGCAGAAAGAAGTGGAAATTAGTCCAAAACGACTACAATGTAACATATTGTCGTCTACGGAAGATATTAATAAAATGGAATGAATTTTTTCATAATTTTATGTTATGTCATTATCAGAAATGCTGATGTTAAAAATCTTTTTCATTGACCAACCAAAAAGTATTAAATCCTTGTTATTCATCCTTTTTTATTATACGCTATATATATATATATATATATATATATATATATGGAGAGAGAGGGAGAGAATAAAAACCTCTAATTCCCGGTACATGCAAAAAAATTTTAAATTCCTTATTCAGTAAACACTATTACGACAGTTATGTTGAAAAGTGACTTGTGTTTTAAACTGCTAAAAATCTTAGAGTTAAAACAATTTCAAACCATACAGTATAAGATCGGTTATAGAACATTTTTCGAAAATAATTCATTCATGATGTGAATGTGACATTAGTGGGGGGGGGGGGGCGAGGAGTCAGGAATACGCTGGACGACTGATAAGAAGACTCTAGAAGATCTGGATTTCACAGATGATATATATATATATCTCATGTCATACAAACTCGAAGACTTGCTAGCCAAAACCAACAAAATGGCTGGAGAGGCTGTCAGCGAAAACAGGACTGCAGGTGAACACAGAGAAGACGGAGGTGATAAAAATAACCAATCAACAGCAACAACAACCAGCACAAATCACCATCAATGGGAGAGATTTAACAGAGGTTGCCTCCTTCACTTATCTAGGAAGTATCGTTTCAACTACAGGCGGAACGGACGCAGATGTCAAAGTCAGAATTGGAAAGGCAAGGTACAGCTTCATCAACTTGAAAACCAGTTTGGAAATCTTCCGCACTCAGAACAAGGAACAAGATTCGCATTTTCAACACCAATGTGAAATTGGTTCTTCTATAGGGGTCAGAAACTTGGCGTGTCACAAAAAGGATTTCCAACAGGCCGCAGACTTTCATCAACATCTGCCTTCGCTGGCTTTATACTGAAGATCAAATGGCCAGAAAGAACAAGCAACAAGAAACTATGGGAACAAGCCAATAGGCGAGAGCCGATCGCTCAGCAAATATGTAGGAGAAAGTGGAGATGGATCGGGCATACATTGAGGAGGCCGCCTAATGACATCGCACGCCAGACCCTCGAGTGGAATCCAAGTGGGAAGCGACGAGTGGGTCGTTGCTTTAAGGGTGACATGGAGGAGATCGTGTGAGGAAGAGATGAGAGAGATCGGTCAATAGTAGACCCAGATGAAGAGGACGGCAGAAGATAGGACAAAGTGATGCGTCGTTGAAGCCCTATGTTCGTCTTTAAATTCACTAATATGTTGAGTGTAAATACCATAGTATTAACCAAACAAGGGAACGATTATATATGTAGAAATTAACCTACAAGTAAGAAGAAGTACGTGTTAAGCTGGCTAGCTAGCTATCTGGTTAGCAGGTAAACGAAGTTCTCTAGTCTATTGGTTTAAAGCAAAGTAAGCATTATGAATTTGAACTTTGTTTGTACGTCAATCCTTTATTAATACATCAGCTGGAGTTAAATTGAAACTAATTATTTCAGAAGCTTAATGAGTACACTATTATTTATATTTCAATAATCCATAATAGTGTAATTATAAGGATTCCATTTGTAGTCTGCGCGGAAGGTTTTTTTCTCTCACTGTTTAACAACACTATTTCAGTTCAAATAAAGATTATACACATATATACGCGTTCTACTGCTTCCTATTTGTTTGTTTTTTGTTTTTTCCGCACTTCATAAATAATCAAGTGTTTGTGTAAACAGAATGGAATGTAGTTAGTGGTAGTAGTAGTAGTCGTAGGGGGGAATTTTTTCATCTATCTCTGTTATTCAATAGAACAGAATTTGTCTTTTTGATGAGATAGACTATTTGGGATATAAGCTTGAGTCAGAAAAAATAAAGGTATTGTTTTATAATGATTATTCCCTTAAGTTCCGAGTGGAACATAGGGCTTCAACAACAAATCTCCACTTTGTCCTATCTTCTGCTGTCCTCTTAGGCTGGGCCCGCGGTTGCCCATAATCTCTCGTCTCCTCCTCACGCGATCTCCTCCATGTCCTCTTAGGACGACCTATTCGTCGCTTCCTATTTGGATTCCACTCGAGCTATGGCCTGGCACGTGATGTCATTCGATGGTCTCCTCAATGTATGCTCCATTTTCTCTTACATATTTGTTGAGCAATCGGCGCTTGGTTGATTTGTTCCCAGCCAGAGTTTCTTGTTGCTAATTCTTTCTGGCCGGCGGGCTGACCATTTGACCTTCAGAATGGAGCGAAGACAGCTGTTAATAAAATCTTTTTCGTGACAAACAGTGCGAAATTCTGACCCACATAGAAGCACCAACTGACTTGACATTGGTGTTGAATATCCGAATCTTGTTGTTTATGCTGAGGCGGATTCTAGAAGATTTTCAAACTGGTTTCAGATTGATGAAGGCGTATCTTACCTTTAAAGGTATTATTTTAACAACTATGTAATTCAGTTATACCATTAGTCTGAATCTTATCATGAACCAAATCTCCAATTTACGCATTCCAATTTGTTTTACTATTTATTCTTTTCCGTTTTTATTTATTGTATATGTGTGGTGGTATACCGAGTGTAAACTTGATATTAATTAAGTGAACAATGTTTTTCCTCTTTTCCACATGTTTTCTTCCTACACACACAAAAAAAATGTTTTGCATTCATTGCTATCTATACACATGATGTACACTGCATGATCTATATTTAGAAGCAAATCAGGTATTTTGGGTTGGCGATCAGATCGTAAAGAAACTATCAATAATCATGCTTGTCAGGTAAGCTGAATAAAACAACAGACACTTAGTGTCTGTTTTATCGTTTATCTGCTTTTTTATTTATCCTCATCCTTACAAAAATTAAGGGGAATAGTTGATTGACCGATTGGTGTATAATCAAGTGTTAGGCTAAAAGAAAAAACGAAAAATTCAGGTGTCTTTAACATTCTTTCACTATGAAATTGCTTTAAGATGGGAATGTTATATCTTTGAGTTTGTAAACAAAGAAATATTGTCAGGGATGGATACGACTGACTAGCTGACTGAGTTTCGACGTAGAAATTTGCACAAAAGTGCAGCGGATCAACTTGGCGCTCGTCATCAAGGCGTACCTACAATCTTGAAGGAACTCATGTCCCACTTAGCATGGTGGCCACATTGCAAACCTGACTGATAGAATTCAGTCTACAGCAAAGACAGGACTAGACACATCACACTAGTTACTATTGTCCAATCAAAGTATCCAATACAGTCCCTACAGGAGGTGAATCGTGAGCCCGAATAGCTCAATGGTACAGTCTCTGACTGCAGCACTGGGTAACATGAGTTCGAGTCGCAGAGGGGACACAAGTTCCTTAAAGATTTCAGATACGCCTTGCTGACAATTAATAACAGTTACAAAACTTAGGTCAGAGGCTTCCTACCGATCACCTCCAACCTTCTAATAAACACAATAATTACATGAAATGGCATGACGACTTAGTGGCGCTGGGAGAGTGCAAAGAGCGAATGCATCCGAGCTATTGAGGACGGTTTTTTGCCATAACACCGACAGTGTCGAGCCATTAGTTTTTAGCATCCCAAGGACCCCTACCCAGGCATTTTACGCCTTCCTACACGCCTCAAACCATCAACTAGACTTCATGGATTGATGCCATGGTTTGATTTGATCACCACTAACTCTTTTTCGATGTAATTTGGTGTCAGATCCTTTGGTCGATAGCTGGATATCGTGTCTATATCAGAGATGACGCAAGTTGACAAATGCCACACGAGTCTATTGTATCCGTGTTGAGACTTCATCAGGAATCAATCTATTAGGGATGATGCAGATTCCCGAATAAGTCAAGTGGTCAACACACGCAATCACTTCACTCTATATCTTTAAAAGTGATGAATTTAAGAAAATGGGGGAAGAAAATGAACGTATAACGTTGCACAGGGGTGCATCAGTTCTAGTCGACAGAATTTCCAAGATGATAAAAGGTGAATACCGTTGCATCAGGCGTCTCCAACTGCTCACTTTCAACATATCTGTATACTGTTAAAACCAAAAATCAAGGGTTCTATAGACTGGTGATGTATTTTGGTCAGTCAATAATCTGAAAACTAGATGATCAGCATTAGTTAGGTAATCAATAGTTTAATTAGATCATAATCCACTCATTATAAAAGGTGTTTTCAAGGTTATTAGAATTATGGATAGTCGATATATTCACAGTATTATCACTATTATTCGTTGGATAAATTAGGGGACAGTTTTTAATTTGCATAAGATCTTAAGTGAAGTGATCATCACAATGATTTTGAACTGGTGATGTTTCATAGACTGACGAATATAATCGAAATAGAGTCTAGGATTGCTGCTAAGTGTTACTTGCCGTCACACCATATATCCGCGTATCAAAAGGAATAAAATAGAAGTAATGAAAAGGAAATCAAAATCCTGCAGTAAAACATCAAAGGAATGAGATATGACATAATGACTATGGCAAACAAACGGTATCGGTGACGTTGACGTCAGTCCTAGTCCGCATTATCTTGAACTTCTAAGTAGGAGGCTTTCTGAAAGCTAACCGCTCAGTGACACCGCTTACTGCTTTGGCCACTCTCTCCACCTAGTCTTGCTTTTTTCACCATAGCATATTGAGACGGAAGTCAACTAGTCTTGGATGATGCGTGTTATAGCTACAAATTCATTGATTACTTGGCTTAATTGTCTAAAGATTTTGTAGTTAACACCAGTATTGTGTACAGTGTGATTTTACCTTACGCAGAGGGGATTACGAAGGCATGTGTGGTCTAATATTTGTAGGCTAAACATACATTTTGTCGCTATTGGCATGTTTCTCAGGTAAACATATAGAGTCTTTGAATCGGAAATCAGATATTGCGTCAATGATGCAGGTAGAGTTATTTGGCTAAAATTGCACTAGTGTATTCTAACCGTACCACCAACCTGTTATGGCTTATTTGATTCTCCAACTAAGTGAACTGGTTCACATACCAAACCATCTATTATCACATATGGAGATATTTAGAATTGGGAGAAATAACTCATGCAGTATCAGATTTTAAATAAGTAGCCTTTTCACTACTCATCTGATGTTGATTCGGTTGTCCTACATGTTCCACTTGTTGATAATTCCATAGCTCCAACTCAGTTGTAAAGGATTTCACGTCAATTTTAATTGTAATTCTCAACGGAGCCTACTTTAGATGGCCTCAGTAATAATAATTGAATTAACTGATATAAGGTTAGATGATTTCAAGTGTATGCTTTTGGCATTGTTGTATTCGCTGAGTTGGAAAGTTTAATTGGAAAGCTCTTAATTGCCATTCTGGACAACACTAACTTCATTGTCAAGTTTGCAGTGAAAATGTTGTGTGGAAAAAAGGCTTTGCAATTAAACCATCCTTCGGCTCAAAGAAGTCGATGTTTCTTGATGGTTCTGGGGGAAATTATTATTTTAGCAAAACAGGAAAAAGCAACGATCTGTGCAGAATAAGCTGGTGCCATAGTTTATTTCGTCGGCCTTTCATCATCTGTGTACCGCCTAAACAAATTAATGAAGTTTACAGAACGACTTTAACGTACTTACAAATGTGACATGATGTCCGTTAACAGAAGACTCTAAAATTTGCAGTTGTCAGACATATACATAGAAGGTTCAAGTCTAACGAAAACAAAACCAACAAGAAACAATAAAATAATTTTTTCGTTACAATAAGAGGGGAGTTACGTAATGAGATCACTAGGTGGATAAGATAATAAGCAACTAATCAGTTGCATAACAGTGTGGTGAGTTCAGCTCAAATCAAATTACTTTACAGCAAAAAGGGAAGAGGTTAAAGGCAAAGATTGCGTAATCAAATGAAAGGGAGAGTAAAGACATCGAGTTATCAGGGCAAGGAAAGACTGATAACCGCTTTTTTTTTGGACACATAAGTCAGGCTTCATGAGTTTGATAGCAACTGCTTTGGTAAACTTGACTAGAATTGAACCATTTTGTCGATTTTCATACTTTTAAAGTATTTTAAGGCGTCCATCTTATGAACTGTATCAACGAAATGCCTATCTCTAACTGTGTATACAAATTTACAAGCATATGTGTTAGCATTTATATCGAGAGAACACAAGGAAGGGCAAACTTTTGATTTTCTGAATATGTACCAAAAATCCCACGTCTCAAAGGAGGGAACCCCTTGAATATTGCTTTTACTAGGCATCTTCAGTACTTGAAAGGAGTTCTGAGTTTATGGGATTGTTCAGAGAAGTGAGAAATATATATCTTAGGTTTTGACCAAAGGGAAAAAAACTATCCATCAATTTTTAAATACAGGTCACAATGGAAATGATTTTCTATCCTGTAGTTTACTTTTGATGTACATTTGAAACCTAACTGATAAAGACTTCGTTATAAAAAATATTACTGTGACACTGGCATTTCGCTAACATGTCCAGAAGTTATTCGGTGAACGGTGACTAGCAGTGGAGTCTAGGATGCTCAGTTAGCCCTATTCAGAACTCGTCGGCTGGATGTACCTGCGTTTCCCAGTGAGCGATGGTATTCCCATTCAGACTCGAACCCAGTACTCAAACAAATAATGCGCGAAATTTGTCTAGTTTGCCCTCTTTTTTCAGCACCATCATTTTAAAACGATTCTATGCTTTAATTAACAGAATTTATAAGGCCAATTTATTATTTATTTGTCTTAAGGAAGTGTTTATCCTTTTTTCTTAAGGTTTATTGTGCATCAAATGTTCAAATCATCACACTACGTCGTACTGAACACTTAACCGAGGAGAATTTACGTGATCTGAATCAACAACATCATTCCAATGACAGTGATAATGGTAGTGGTGGTGGTCTCATTGGAGCTCCTGCCAGTGATATTGTATTCCCAGGTGGTAGAGGTAATCTACTAACAAATTTATTACAAACTGCAGCATCGGAAACTGAGAAAAAGTCAGAATTAGCTGTTACACATGTGAGTATTCACTTATTCACCTCTCACAATTATTTATTCAATAAACAATTGTCATTGTTTTTTTTCATTGCTTTTAATACATACTGAAATGATTTAATATGTAATAGTTTAATTACTGCAATAATTAGTAGTACTACTACTACTAATACGACTATAATGCTATGCCACTTGTTCACATATTTGTTTAACTGTTTTCGTTTTTAAAGTAATGTAGCATACAATATACGTATTTTTGTTATTGTGTGTAAAAATATATATTTGAAGTTCATACACTGTAGTATATTGTACTCACCAGTGGTAAATCCAAAAAAACAAAAACAAAACAAAAAACAGCAATACTGTATTAGAAATTTTATTATTGACACATTGACTTTCCATTAGAGAAGTCTTTGTTGGTATGACTTCAATTCAATAATAATAATGACTCATGCAATTATGGGAAAATAAGTGACGTTGTTTTATATTGACAAATATCCCAATTTGCATTTACTGCTTTTCAAAAGAATGCTTACTGAACAAAGAATACTCTTTTCGATAATGCCTTCTTCATCAGGTTCTACAGTTATATATACATAATAGTGAATGAATTAGTGTTATTAACAACATTAATGTTGTTTAGATAACATCGAATCAATAATAATAATAATATCAATGGATTACAGTTCGATAGTATCAACATAACAATACACTGAATGAATATCAGAGAAATCAGGAAAAAAAATAATAATAAAATATATTCCACTGAAGACTGACTAGGACAGTAGTAGTGGCTTGACTTGCTTCTTCAGCGCACAAATCACTGGTTATCTTAGGCGAATCTCGATAGCCTCTGCTGCTTGGAGTATGTGGTACCTTGATGTTTTTCGCAATTTATTTGCTACCCGATAGATGATAGAGAAGGACTCTTCAGTATTGGCTTTGTGACCGGTTTGTACCAGGTGTTCTAACATAGAGCTGTTGATGCTTATGGCTGCACCTTTGTTTAACCACACTGGTAGATGTTCCCTAGCGAGCACGAAAAATCAAGTCTCTAGAGGAACAGCCAATATAACTCGCTCCACCACAAGCGTAGTTGAATTGATAGATACAATTGAAAGTGGCTAGTCTAGTCTAGGTACTTCATCTTTCAATCGATGAATCACTATCGGTTGTGTAGAAAATAAGACTTGTAGTTTGCCAGAATTAAAAGTTCTCTGAACTGATTTCCTTAACTTCTTCGTAATTATTTTGCTGGGTATATTGCTCTTCAGTTGCAGTCGCATGTATAAAGGCTTCTTGTTTACGGAAGCCTTCAGTGGAGACTATACATTCATTAATTTGTACTATTATTATAATTTTTCCTAATTTCTCTGATATTCATTCAGTGTATTGTTATGTTGATGCTATTGAACTGTAATCCATTGATATTATTATTATTGTTATTGATTCGATGTTATTTGAACAACATTAATGTTGTTAGTAACACTAATTCATTGACTATTATGCATATATAACTGTAGAACCTGATGAAGAAGGCGTTATCGAAAGGAATATTTTTTGTTCAGTAACCACTCTTTTGAAAATTTACTGTTTATTTTGAAGATTTTTGTTTCATTCAAACTAGACTTCTTGAACAAAAAAATGATCGAATATATAGTCAGAGGTACGTAGGTTATTTTCAAGGTAGTTATCAGCTGGAGTATTGAACCCGCCATATTATACTGCTGCAGACTGATCATTTCTTTACTATAATGATGTGGAGAGTAAACGGTGATTCGTGTTGTAATGCATATGTACCCATCACCCTATTTGTCCCTTTTTAACTTTCTGTGCATCCACCGCTTTTCTTCCGATGTTTTCTTAAGTATATAAATATTCTTATTAATTAATAATTAATTTTTTAATTGCGTGCATACCTATCAATACTGGTTGGAAGTTTGTTTTATTTTTTCAATTAAGTAGTTTACCAGGGTAGGTGAATATCATTAAATGCGTCTTTTGTCTGCAAAACTACCTTATCCCTTATCTTATTATTATTATTATTATTTCCTTTAATTCCTAGAGGAACATAGGGCTTCAGCTGCACGTCTCCATTGCGTTCAGTTCTCTGCTAAAGTTTTCACCTGGCTCCAGGTCTGCCCACATGCTTTCATCTCCTCTTCACATGACCTCCTCCAAGTCACCCTTGGACGACCAACTCACCGCTTCCCGTTCGGGTTCCACTCGAGCGATGGCCTGGCGTGTGATGTCACTTGATGCTTTCCTCAAGGTATAGCCAATCCACCTCCATTTCTTTCTGCTTGTTTGTTTCACAATCGGTTCCTGCTGGGTTGGTTCGCTCCCAGAGATCCCTGTTGCTAATCTTTTCTGGCCGGCCATCTGATCTTGAGTAGTATTGAGAGAAGACAGCTGTTGATGAAGGTCTTTAGTTTGTTCCAAGTGCCCTTCGTGACGCGCCAAGTCTCTGATCCATAAAGTAGCACTGACTTCACATTGGAGTTGAAAATTCGGATCTTATTTTTCATACTTAGCAGTGCTACTGACCTCCACACAGACTTGAGAGTAATGAAAGCTTGTCTTGTTTTCCCGATCTCTTATCTTATAGTCGCTGCATATGCTTTGATTTTGTAATAAGACTGTGTTTTAACAAAGTGTTTCCGTTTCCGTGAAATATTTCACCCTGTAGGCTATAGCTTTCTTAGAAAAGGAAGAATTAAGATTTTCAACTAAAGTAAGCTATGCATCATCATTCAGTTATTAAACTTCACTTCATTTAAAATATTTAGGTGACGACTAGCAGTGGAATCCAAGACACAACTTTCTTCCTATCTGAGACTCGTCAACTGGATTGTATCTGCATTCTCATTCATAACAATAATTTCGCGTTGCTTGAGATGTGTTTTACCTTCTTTGACTTCGTAATAGGTAGTTATTGCTTGTAGATTTTATCGATTATCCCTGTATATATATAGTCCCTACTGAACCAAGTATCAAATTTCACGAGATTTTCTCGATTGTCTGAAATAATTTGAACAAAAAGCATGGTTTTGTAGTTAGAGATTTGTGATGTGAAGTAACCTCATTGGACAAATCCTTTAACATTGGGCTAATCGCCAACCAATCAATCAGAACAACCTATTCTCCTCTGACTTAGGCAAACTTTATTCTCAAGAAGTATGTATAATTATCATGCGTTTCTCCTTAATCAAGGCCCGTTACAAAATCCATTATCTTCTTCCGTTGCAATATAACATGTGAGTAACAACTCTTATGAAAAATGATCAGTTCACATCGACCAAAACTGTGAACTTCAATCATATGAATTCTCAAAGTTGAAAAGGGCAACAACAATCTTAAGCATAATAAAAAAATTTAATATATAACCAGTGAAACGAAAAACAAATATTTTGTTTATCAGTCAATCCTGGGAAATCAACAGAATGATTGAATAAACGATTTCTTACATATGACGACTGACTACACAAGGCAAAAGTTAGTCTACAAAGGCTATTGCAGACCAACATATTTGCAGGATTGGAAAGAGCTCATTTCTTTTGTATTTCACAACTTTACATCAGCTGCTAACACTCTGAAAATAATGACGTAGCTTATAATGTAGCCAATATTATATAGCACACTTCGAAATTACTTCAACTCAAAGGGCATAGTTTTAGAACAAGAGATATGAATAAAAGATAGTGGTTAATACTCTAACAACCAGAGTTAATTTATACATAATGTGATGGAAGGTTTAAGTACATTTGAAGAATAATAATGAGTTGAGCTCAGTGAGTTGTAATCTACTAGATTTTCTAAGCATATCCACAAATGCAATCGCTGAGCCCCCGATTGACATGGATCATTCAGTCAAAAACACTTAAGCCTTCAAAATAATCAGTATACAGAGAAAATCCTGACTAATATATTCCGGAGAAGCCAGTGCATTAAAAGATATCACCCTAATCTGTGTATACAAAAAGATTAATCTCGCACTACCCTGGTAATTAGATATATGTACTCAGTTTTTGTGTTTTTGTTGCGTAACAATTTTTTTGATTACAACTTACTGAGGTCAACTCATTATTATTCTTCAAATGTACTTAAACCTTCCATCACATTATGTATAAATTAACTCTGGTTGTTAGAGTATTAACCACTATCTTTTATTCATATCTCTTGTTCTAAAACTATGCCCTTTGAGTTGAAGTAATTTCGAAGTGTGCTATATAATATTGGCTTCATTATAACCTATGTCATTATTTTCAGACTGTTAGCAGCTGATGTAAAGTTGTGAAATACAAAAGAAATGAGCTCTTTCCAATCCTGCAAATATGTTGGTCTGCAATAGCCTTTGTAGACTAACTTTTGCCTTGTGTAGTCAGTCGTCATATGTAAGAAATCGTTTATTCAATCATTCTGTTGATTTCCCAGGATTGACTGATAAACAAAATATTTGTTTTTCGTTTCACTGGTTATATATTAAATTTCTTTATTATGTTTAAGATTGTTGTTGCCCTTTTCAACTTTGAGAATTCATATGATTGAAGTTCACAGTTTTGGTCGATGTGAACTGATCATTTTTCATAAGAGTTGTTACTCACATGTTATATTGCAACGGAAGAAGATAATGGATTTTGTAGCGGGCCTTGATTAAGGAGAAATGCATGATAATTATACATACTTCGTCAGAATAAAGTTTGGCTAAGTCAGAGGGCGATAAATTGTTTTGATTGGTTGACGATCGGCCCAAGGTTAAAGGATTTGTCCAATGAGGGTATTTCTTGCCCACAACGTAAACTAAGTCCAAATTTGATGAATGAACACTTAAAATGTTGACTTTAGTTTTGACCGTATCCTATCAAGCTGTATCACTGTAGAATATCTATAGATTTAAATGCATTTCGATTAAGTGCTTCTTTCTAAAATTCATTTCAACAGAATATTTACTCATCTCTTCAATGCTAAATACAAAGATTTTTTAAAACTTCTCACACTAAAGTAGAAACTGACTACATTTGAAC